ACGTGAGCCAAAATTTTGTCGATCATAGCCGTTAGCCAATCAAAATCGAGAATCTGCCGTGAAGCGGCAGCTGAAAAAATTTTTGATGATATGCGTAGAGATGGGCAAAATGCAGATTCTGAACCATGCAGCGTGTATTATGCAAAAGTGTGCATGATATGCATGATGAGCATGATGCACGTGATTAATACTAAATTACTATTGGTAGCTCTTGTTACTGTTAGAGCGAAGGAATTTTACAATGCAGCAATGTGAATGCCATTATTATTGTTATTATAAAGCAAAGATAATCTTTATTGTGCATTAAATATATAATTATTTGCGCTTTACATCTGACTTTAAAATAATTACCGGTAATTATTCACTTTCTACATTCTCAATTTCTTCATCTATTTCACTATCAGTTTCTTCGATACAATCAAACAATTCTTCATCTTTATTTTCTACTATAATTTCTTCGTAAGAATCATCTAGATCATCATCTATCGGATCTAATAGCTCTGCATTTTTTTGATGTCTAGTTGACCTATTATTAATTCGTGCCATTGCTTTTGTTGTATCAGATAATTGTTGCTGCAAACAAGTAAGCTTATAGTTGCTATAAATGTATACTAATTTTAATACTCGATCATTAGTTAATCTGGCTCTTTTTTTTTCTTGAATATATGAGAATGCTGACCAGTTGCGTTCAGAAGCTGCAGATGATGAAGGGATTGAAAGAATTCGAATAGCTACTTCACACAATTCGGGTGCTGAAGTTTCAAAGTTACCTTTCCACCAAGCAATAGGGTCGATATCATTAACTGTATCCCATGCTAATTGAAGATTAAAGATGCCCATTTTTGTTTTATATTCGATCAATTGTTGCCAGATAATATTTGCATTGTCTGGATAGTATCTTTGAACAAATTGTGATAGTACTAACATACTATTAGCAGTAAGTTTTTGTCCATTATATCGTGGATCTAAAAGATGAGCGAATGCTATAACTGGATAGAATATTTTTTTCCATCGATTTTCAAATAAAATTTTAATTTGACTGTTTATTTCTAAAAGATATAGTAATTACAATTTAATATACAATTTGAATATTAATTTTAATATACAGTATAAAATTATTTACCATCCGATTCTAACTGCTCATGATACCAAAGATAAAATAAAGCCAATTGTGGCGTATCAGCCTCAAATAGCGAAATACCAACAATTAATCGATCTAATATTAGAAGAAGATTTCCGATATTTTTCCAAAAATTTTCATCCTTAATAGTTTTATTGATTAATTCTGGTAATGTTTCATGATTGTTGTATACCATTTCCGTGATTGTTAATTTAAGCGCAAGCTTATTTTGTAATAATGAATTGAGGCATGTCGCTGAAGATCCCCATCGTGTTTTAACTGGTAGCTTTAAAGACACTTGATGTTCATATGTTGCTGATTGGTGTCTACGTAAAATAGCCATTGGAATTTGATGTGATCGGAAATATAGAACAATTTCCTTAGCATTTTTTAAAATATTTGCACACCAAGAAATCTTTAAAATATCACCGATTAGAAGATTTAAGCTATGTGCTACACAACCTAAAAAAAACATTTTAGGATATTTTTGTTCTAGTATGCGCCATGCTTTCTTCATAACGGAGGCATTATCCGTAATTAGAGCTGAGATTTTAGACGGGCCAACTTCAATAATTATTTTTTCAAGATCTTTGGCGATTGTTTCACCATTTTGGCGAATTTCACCAGTTGGATATGCAGTGAAAAAAACAGGTTTGGGAGTTGTCAAAATGTAATTAGTCCAATGCTGCTGTATTAAATCGGACCATCCGTCAGATACAAGGCATAAGTTTTCACTTTTGTCAATTAAGGCTTCAACTTCACATTTAGTATCTTCAAAGATAATGTCTAATAATTTTGTCGAAAGTTTTTTTCGACTAGGAAGTTTGAAAGCTGGTTTGGCTTTTTTCCATAAATCCTTTATAGGTTCCATTTCCGATAGTGATAAAAAAAGACCACATCGAAATATAGACTTTGCAAATGCTAATTCTAATGATTCTTGTTCTTTTTTTGAAATAGAATCAGCAGATGTTAATAAGGAAGCTGATGTTGATGTGCTTACAGATGCTTCGTCATCACTTTCTTCGTAAGATTCTCCAAAATAATTTTTTTTTTGTATTAATGAAATTCTTGAACATTTTCGAAAATGCTTGCGGGCTTGTCTTAATGAATCGTTAATTTGGTCCCCACACTTTTTACATTGCCATCTTTTTTGCTTATACCCAACCACGTGACCTAGCTGACTAAAGTGCTCCCATATTGGATCGGGTAATGGCATTTTAGCTATTAATTAAAACATCAATTATATATTCTAACTAAACGTTAAATAGATAAGCAAAAAAAGTTTAATATAATTAATTACCTTGACAACTTTTGTATGAAGAAGTCAATTGAATCGATACTTTTATTTTATTTTTTTTTTGTGTAAGAAATTTCAAGAATCTTAAGTATGGCGTAATGTTTAAATAAATACCAACAATATTTTTAACTTTTGGTTTGTGAGAATTCAATCTTCAGGATCTTGCAAGAAAACATTATCTTCTAAACGCAGAATTTTAAATTTATGATGTACCATTATCATTATACGGAAACTACCGATATTACTTATTTCTTGGATTTTTTTACTTGTGCTGTTTAATATTCATGATGTAAAATTGTGATATATTATTAGATTAAAATGAAAATAGTTCTATTTTGATTTGGTAGTTTTGGTTAGAATTTAGGGCTAGGAATGTTAACAGTTAGGCCGTTCGAAGTTGATTCTTCGGTTAACGTCACCCCCAGCTAAAGGCTCCCCCGAGAAATGAACAACCAATCAAAACGCTGGATAACTCTCACCAATCTCTTGATTTACATTGACCAATCAAATTGTCTCATATTTGTTCATTCTATATGTTCGTTTCATTTTAAACTCTTGGGAGAGGGGGGGGATAAAAGTGATGTTAACCGAAAATTCAATTGCAAGCGGCCTTATTATCATTATACACGAAGTTTAATGGCTTAAATATTTTGAGACTAAATAAGGCTTCAAAAATAAAATAAATATTAAATTTGCACGACAATTTGAACATAACAACATACGTATCATATAAAAAAAAAAGAAGTTTTCGTTCACCAACTATAGCTTAGCCTTTTATCATTGTTAGGACTTCATCTTTTAATAAAGTTTCGGCATTTCATTTCTCTGGAGGTTTCGTAGGTTTCGCATTTTGTTAGAGGTTTCGTCTTTCGCTGGTTTTGCCTTTCATCAGGGGTTTCGTCTTTCGTCGGGGGTTTCGTCTTTCGTCAGGGTTTCGTCGCCTTTCGTCTTTTTTAGGTCTAGGTTTCGTCTTTCGTCATTTTCGCAAAACAGTTTCGCCTAACAACTATAGTGGCATAGTAGAGTTATCTTCACGAAGCCCATCAATTAATCCATGATTACCGTACCCCCCCCCGAAGTGATAATTGACCTGTCCCTTAGTAGTAGGAAAGGCGACTTAAGCCTTAGAACATCCACCTGCCCAATCTAACCGCCTCTTTCG